AAATTTTCAATTTCGATCACGAAATTTTTATGAGGGAAGATTGCAGTATCAAAAATAAATAAATAAATTATCAAACAACACGAATAATTGTCTCTAAGGTTATCTTAAGAGTTGTATATCCCATTTTCGAACATCATACTAAGCAAAAAAATAAACCAACGAGGCGAGATGCGAGAGGCGAGACGAGAGTGCTTGTGCAGAAGAAAAATTTTAAGGTTTTGTGAGAAGAGTAAGGAGAAGGAAGAGAGGTAGGAAAGGGAAGCTGGTGGCTCATGTGAGGTGTCATTCGATAGTGTTCCGTGTGACAAAAGAAATGAAAGAAGACAAGAAAACATCGTGTGCGGAAGAACCTACCGAAAGGACTTCCTGAGAGAGTACTTGGGTGAGAAGTCGATGTCGCGGCTTGTTGTGGGTTCGCCTAATATTGTCTAGATCGGCCATGTGTTGTGTCGGTGTGAGTGAAGGATAAGAATCAACTGACATAGAAGGAAAGTGTGTCGCGTGTAGGAGGCTCAACGTTTTTGGTGTGAAGGAGAAGGGAGACAGCTCGTGCGCATGTGGGTCAAGGCTGCCAACCAAACATGTTTTTTAAGGTTAGAGTAAGTTTTAATTTCATATTCTATTAATTTAAATAAATGTTATAATTATTAATGTTAGTTTCTGCTAAAATATAACGGGATCTTATTGAAGAACTTTTACTCGATAAGATTGGGAAACATAAATTATTGATTTCATACAATAAGTAGAAGGTAAATGTTGAGGTCTTATTTCTGTAAGTAAATAATTGGCAATATAAATGCTTATGTAAGGTTAAAATTAATCAAGAATTGAAGGACGATAAATTCTTTGGATTTGAGGAAGATATGAATCAAGACATTCAAAGAAGGATATGATAAAGATTCATAAGTTCTGTATGACATTCATATAAAAAATTTTAATTAAAGGTGGTGTTAATTTCATATTAATAATTTTATGAACTAATTTAAATGATTTTAATTTGTCAAACAGTTGAATTAAAAGTAGTATTAATTTCATATCAACAATTTTATGAATTAATTTTAATGATTTCAATTTCCGAAAAAGTTGAATTAAAAGACGAGAGAAAGATTAAATTTGTTTGTCTAAAGAAAACAAGGTGAAGGAGTAAGTTTTTTTAGGTCTCTTAAGAGCTACGAGAGTAATTACTTTCCTATTGGTATTAGATTAATCATTTTTTAGGAAATTTCATATCAATTTGATAAAAATAAACTTACAATATTGTTTTAAAAATAAATATTTCATTTAGGTTTTGCATTTTGAATATGTAAAAAATGTCTCTAATGGGAAGAAAATAATTGATATACGAAAGTATATTTAAATTATTTTAAATTGGCATGAAATGATAAGTAAAGACTCAAGTAAATCAAGATTTATCCAGACATGATATTGGCATGGATGTGACGTACACGTGCACGAAAAAGGAAATGAAAATGATAAATGTGTTTTCGGGTGCAAAATTTTATGGGTAACTACGGTACAACTTTTAGAGGAACATTCGGGTATAAAAGTAATGTTGATATGACTTCCTAAAAGAAAACAAATTAAAAAGGAAAATAATTAAATTGGAATAACAAGAATTAATTTAAAATAAAAACTTACAGTTTAATTAATTAACTAATTACATTACTTGTGGACACTCATGCATAATATTTGTCTATTAATTTAATGCACAATATAATTATAATTGTTCACTAAATTGTGGTAAATTTACTGTTTAAATTAATTGTTTCTTTCAGGTAAAACACTAGATTAATATGACTGACTGAAGAGAATTGATTTACAATGGGAGAACTACTGATACAAGGTAATAGGTTGTTTGTTCTTATTTCGTATAATTCTAAAAATGTTGGGCTATTTTTAGTTGGATTGTGATACTCTTTTAATCTAAGTCTATATTGATACTTCGGATGAATTGGATCTATGTTTAGTGTATTTTGTGAGTTTTTTTTTTAGTGGCTCTTTTTATTATTCAAAGTTATGATGGATTATTGAATGATATGATAGAAAGTTTAATATCGTCCAACTGAATTTCGTGATTTGGTTAAGTCTAAGCTATAAGGTCGAGTCGTGACATATTTGATGCAAGCAAGGGAGGAAAAACTATAAACACATGAAACAAAACTGTCAAGTATACCATTTTTTACTGCAAAGTAAAGTATCCCAATTCAATAGCAAGTGGCACCAAATTTTGTGAGTGGAAACACGTATAATGTCTTAGCCACCAACATTTCCTCATGGATATAGAGATGAACATACAAAATAGAATCCATATTTTCAGAGCCACTCGATAATTTGAATATTTTGAACAAGATAATTAATTTGTTCCCAAAGAGTTTAAAGTACTATATCAATCTTACATGCATGCTTAATCATTAATTAGACAAATAGTTTTGGCTAAATCTAAATGGCCAAAGATGTAAACTTCAAGAAACAATTGTTTTCATTTGATAATACTAACCATCAATTTAAAAATTATAAATTAAGTAATCATAGTGTTTCGAAATTATGCAAGATTTACAAGTTTTGTAGTTAAAAATTTATATATCTAGACAATTATACACATTTCATTAACAATCTTAGGCTAAAAACTAATGATAAATTTACCATTTCATTATGAGAGAATTATACAAATATTTAAATATTAAGAAATATTACAATCATTTTATTAGTATTATTATCGCACCAGTCATTAATTTTCCTAATAACAGATCAATATCATATCTAATGCATGTCATACACATACTGACACAACAATAATGTATGGTTGAATATGACCTTAATGAAAAAATTGAGGTTCATGAATATTTTTTGAGGATATATTTCATGCGTTTGAAATTATAATTTAATTAAAACATGTCATTAAATATGAATTTACATCTAAAATAGAAAATGTTCATGAACTTATATCTAATTTGAGCAAGAGTCAGAATTTGAGTTTAAAACTGAAATTAACATCAAATCACAAAATAAATCTGAACTGAGAAATATTATCTATTCCTAGAACGTGACATTGAACCAATCTTACCTATTGAAGTTGAAGAATCAACTGAGTAAATTGATAACAATATTCTTAGCATAGTATAAATGAAAATTATCTCCATGAAGAATTATCGAACGGATATTGATTTTATTTTTAGTTTTGAGCGTACTATGTGAAACCCCTTATTAAAATGAAGTTTTACTCGTAAAAATTGAGACACATTTTGGTGTAACAGTTAGAATTTCATCAGAAACCCTAAAATTAAGCATGTTATTATGTGAGCAATCTTGGGATAGGTGACGTATTGAGAAGTTGCACAAATGGAAAAAAATCATGAGGTCATTTGGCCAAAGCGAACAATCTCTCAATTGATGACAGTCCGGTCAGACAAATTCATTAAGAAAAACTTGTAGAGAGAGTTTAGCCATGCCAATATTTTGTTAATGATTAATACTTCAAATGAAACTTAAATTTTAAAACTTCATTGATCAATTTAATCTAAAAGTGCATGATTCTCTGAAAGTAATTGTTAACCAATTTGGATTAGTATTATTTAAGAGTATGTTCATCCATATAGGCATATCATATTTAGGTGATTTATGCATTTTAAATTTCCATATCATTTCATCCTCTGCAAAAAGTTAAGTTTTCAATTACTATCATTTAATTATTTAGCTTATGCCATATTAGTCATTTGCATACATTCAGTCATGTGCACTATAGTGCATGGCATGGCGAGGTGCCTGGGAAGGCGCAGAGAATCAAAACAGCATTACTATTCACATTGAAGATGGACAAAAGCGCATAGCACCCATGGCAGGGCTATTATTATTTGGTGAGTTACGTTTCCGATTAATAGTAATATTAATTATATTTTGCTTATTACACCCTTGCAAAGGAAGATGAAGATTGTACAGGTTGGCATTCTTAAGAACATACAATATTCAAGAGCAATCTAAGGTAAAAGTGGACTATCCATCGAGGCCGGACACTCTTGGAAGGAATATGAAGATGACAAAAGAAACGAAAAAATTATGATTTAGAAGATAATAATGATGACGATAGAGTTTTGCCAAAGAATATGACGAGACTACAAAATTTTTTCTTCTCAACTCTTTTAGTAAATCTAATTTCCTATTTAATTTATTTTCTCATGTATCATAGCTAACTTCATGTACAACATGAATGAATTAAGATCATGCATGTTGTGAGGTGAGATGATTTTTTTATAATAAATAAATTTTATGGACATTTTTTGTTAAATTGATTTCATTATAGCAAAAAATTTCAGTAAGTATATTTCCTTACAATAAAATTAAGATAACAAAAATATCAAATAAGATTATTTATTACAGAGAATTAATTCATTAATCTCAATCCACTACTGTTGCATGTGAAGTTAGCTGAAATACAACAGAAAATAAAGTAGAAAATATTTACCAAAAAATTTAATAAGAAATTATATTTTGTTATAATGTTCTCATTTTTAGCATCGTTAACTTTCATTTCCAATAGTTTAAAGATTGGGATTACTTTGGTCATTATTTAAAAAGTTTGGAGACTGAGTCGGGCTTTCTTAGACTACAATGGCGCCTTATAAATAATCAATGAATCGTATTGATCATTTTCTATTTATTTAGGTAGATGGCTTCCTAGAAAGTGGTGTACAACATAAATAAACATTTGTATAAAAATAAGAAAAAAGTAAAGGAGTGTAAGACAAGGTGGTAGGAATCGTCCAAAGTACCATTACTCATTTTAAAAAAGGCCATAACATACATAAGTCCTTAAAAATTAACTCATGAGAAAGAAATCCAGCATAAAACATACAGCTTAATAAATAAACACAGCTATAATGAAAATTATTTGGCAATTGAAAGAAAACACCTAAGCAAACAAATCCTACCAATGGTGTTCTATTGGTTGTAATTGATAAAATTCAGATAATATAAGTAAATGGTATGCATTAGGAAAAGTTCACCTTTTGACAAACAAGTTCTCCACAAATATCTTTAACAATCAAGTCAAGCACAAGATTGTCCCCCTGCTGGCTCAACTTTAAAAACTCATCATACCTGCAAAAGAACATACAAAAAAGGGAAATTTGTTTGTTGCTTCGATATTTCTGCCTCTTTGGCAAAATAACTCTACACAAGCACTAATCAACTTTTCGCCATCCGTTTTTGCACTGGTTGGAGCTGTAGCAGCCACAGATATATAAGTTACCTTGTACAACCTGTTAAAAGTTTTGCTAGCCCAAACATAGTTCCACCGCCAATGTGTGTGCCAGTAACCCGTTCAAACTTCCTGTTTCCCATCACCTACAAGCTATTGTCATTTATTAGAACTTCTACACAGGTACACAGATTAGGCAGAAAAATCGTGGAAAAACCAATCAATTAACAAATGATATACTAGAATTACCTTTATCATACTAACTCCAGAGCCTATATTGACAAGAAGGTATGGAAATAAGTTCTTTTGGTCAACGTCTACAGGAGTCCGTTTCCCATGCATGAATGTAAAGGATTCATATGGGATTTTCTGTTGGGAAAAGAGCTGGAGAATCAGAGGTTTCTCCCTTCGAAAAAGAAATACCATAAATAATGAAATCAACAAATTCTTAACAAGGAAATAAAATAAAACAGTCAAAATTTTTATTTATAAACACACAAAATCATATTCAACTGAAGACATACAAAAAATGGCTATAATGTGATCAATATCATTAAAATGATTTAAATAGGCATGCATATTCCAATTCTGTGAGCGATGGATTTAAGGAAAGAAATGTAAATATAAGAAGAAAGCTGTAATAAACATTACTGCGTGCAAATTTAAGTTAGCAACTTGCAGTTGTACGTTTCTCTAGCACATAAAGCATCTATATGCCATTACAATGTTTTGTTAATGGAAATTGCTTGGATGAAAATTTATTTCAAGTTAAACTGGCTTCTTGTTCTATCCTTTGGCGCTAGATAATACACAAGTTAGCTAAGTGAATCTAAACTTAACCGTGTTGGACTAGAACGCAATGCTGTCAGTACACAAGTAAAACTGGCTTCTTGTTCTCATCCTTCAGTACTAAAGGATAGCAGTATAGACACACACTAATGGGAGAAACCCCTGGCCTCAAGTTTATCGCATGCTCGTGCTACCTCTAAGGAGTCAATCTGCATGGCAACTAAAAAAATTTTGCAAACTATTGTAAGAGATGTTGGGCCAGTGTTATACTTCAGACAATTTTGTATCAAGTATCTCTTCCATGTTGTAAAACTCGATCAAGAGTCACAATCTTACATACTGAATTGACCTTACCATGATCTTGAGCGTCACCAAAGTTTTGCACAAACTAGGGTCATCGTGAAGCACTACTGTCTTGTCTCCCTCCAAATATCCATTGTCAGAAGTTCTAATTCATCTTATCTCCCTAAAGACTGCAACCATTTCATATCCAATATAACATCAATGCTCGCTAAATCTAAGGGAAGAAAGTCCTCTACCACTTGAATATTTTGCAAATGTCAAAATTAGCCCCTTAATAACTCCTCAGCTCTTCTCTACTAGTCCCATCACCATCATTACTCCAAAGCTTCTTGGATCAAACATCTCAAGCCCCAATTGCTCCACTAATTGAGTAGAAATTAAAAAAATGTCGGTGGCGCGACTATTTACCAACAACACTATGTCCTCCTCTCTGATCTGTCCCAAAAGTTTTATAATATTGGTTCGGTGTGAATCGCACCACCGATTTCAAGGAGACTTCTACCATATCCAAGTGAGGGTGTTCCTCCTCCTCCAGCACCATAGACTTACTTTATTTCATCATCTCATGTCGCATCTTCATCATACACTATGAGAACCTGCAATGACAGATCATTGCAACAATGTCCTAGGGCTCGCTTCTCTTGAAAATTTGTCTCTGCAAGGTATTTGAAAGTCCCTCCTTATCGTGGCCCAGTATTCATGTCCCGTGGAACCTCTCTTCGAAAACTCAATGTTTGAGTTTTTGGCACCATCGTAGTTGTAATATTTCAATATGGCGCTCCAACTATGTTGCTCATATTAATCTATTTCATGCATTTTTATCTTCAATCAATTGCACTAATTTCATAGTTCCCTCAATCATCGCAGTGTCAACAAACAAATAGTTGCATGAATTTCTGGCCTCAGCCCTTCATGAAATTTCCACCTTCAAACAATACTTCTGATTTCCCTCTTTACGGCCAAATACAATCTCAAATTTCTTTCTAAAATTCATGACGAGCCCTTCCTAAATCAATGCAAAAAGTTGCTCATGTAAATCTCCCCGCGTGGTTCTGAAATAGATGCGGGAGTGTTGCGTGCAGGGACGTCTTACGAGATCCCGAGTACAACGACCGGATGCGAAAATCTCCCGTGACCATGAGAGCTCCAGTTTTCACATCTAGACCAAACAGTAAGCCCCTAGCCTTGTTGTCCACTACTATTTCAACCACCTGAATTGCAGCCCTCCTGCCTAGTTGAAGTTCCAACACTTCCCCTACACTATCATTGTTGTTCCAGCGGCCCAAAACCATTCCCCATGCCGCCTCGCTACTATCCCAGCAGCTAAAACCACCTCCCCGTAGTCTAGCTATTGTTCCCGCTGCCCATAACAGCCCCTAGTCGTTGTTCCTTCGTTGTCCAGTCCACCTAAACTCATGCTAACGCCTCTCCAAGCCCCCTTACGACCATCACCACCACCTGAGATCCACCTTAGTTTGAGTGTTTGTGTCATGTGTGTTGCTATTCCATATTTCTAAATGTCGTGTTATTGCATTTTTTCTTTTAAGTATGTTAGTTGTAACTGGTTATTTGATTTCACTAATATTATTTTTTTTTCCTATTGTTATTTGGATTAACTCTGGTATCATTTGGTATCAGAACTAATCTAACTCTATTTTTATCCTATGGTTTCTAGCCCCCCCCCCCCAAATATCCAACCCTATCTCCACACGAAATTCCTTCCCTTTGCTGATTTTTGGAACCGGCCACTCAATTTTTTCTTCCCCACCCTACACCATCCATATACACCCTATTTCATCTACCTAAACCTAAATCCTAACCGTGCACCGAAGAGACAATTGACGAAGACCTGAACATAAGGAAAGGACACGATGTCTTTTATGATAAATTTGTAATGAGATTTATAGAATCTTATATGGAGGATGTTCAGCGGGAAATCTTCCAACTGCAACAGAGGTTTGTCGCCTTCGAAGGACAATTGGGAATGATCACCCATAACTACAATGGTGCTTGATACATCGAAGAAATTGGGTGTATCTCTTCCAACATACAGATGTCAGGAATAAAAAACCACTACCCTGAAGATTTGACCTAAAAATCCGAGAAGCCAACATTTTGAAGTAAAAGTAGATTTGACACATTTTGACCACCATTTAAATCCGGATGAGATCATCGAGTGAATCCAAACCGTAGAACTTTTACTCGAGTACCAGGACGTCCCACTAAACAGAATGAGGAAACCATATACCAGCAAGTTAAAGAAGAGTGTTATTTTAGTGAAAAATTTTGAAGCACATACGCCAACGTGAGGGAAAAGACAATATCATTATTTAGTCCAAGATATAACGAGAGATGCAGAGTCAGTGCCTAAAATTTCATTATAGACAGGATGTGCAAACCCTAACTTTAAAAGTGGAGAGACAACGTTATCGGATGACCACCCCACCTCACAGCAAAGTCCAACATCATGATCGAGTGGCAAAAAAGTACACTAAGTGAAGCATCCAAGATGACTTCACTTGAGGAGACACTAATTCAAAGTAGAGAATAAGTGAAACCAATATACATTCACAAATCCGTCCCACCAAGAAAGTGTTTCAAGCGTCATAAATTTGGGCATTCAATCATATTGCACAACCGGGAGAATAATCTCTTTCATTGATCAGGGAGTAGTTGAGGAAATCGACAGTGACACCAGAAAAGATGAAGACGTCAAAGATGAGCCTCAACTTCAAGTTGTTGATGCTAGTGATTCATGAGGAGCTCCTGAGATAGACTCCAGTTGGGCTAGCAGAAATTGTTCTAGAAGATAGTAAGTTTGAGGCAATGGATACTGATGTAAAGTATGAGATTGTGATGACCGAGCTACCATTTTGCAAGCATTAAGATAAGCATCAGCAAGTCTGGTATTGAGTGTCCTCTCGTTCATCCTGTTGCCACTCATTCCAAACCTATGAATGTCATGTGATTCCCTCCATATGATATCGCTTGAATCCATTTCCAATTCCTTTGATCGATCCTGCAGCTCTAGATCAACCTAAGGCAGCGACGTTGTCCTGATGTCACGTGAATCCTTCTAATTGTTGTCGCTCGTGCCCGCTCAAATCGTTGTTGTTAGATCCTGCGATAGGATTCTATGTAATGGACGAGAACCACAATCTTTCTAATTGATTATGGGTTTGCGTAAAATTCCACAATTTTCATCATAACTTCTAGAGCAATGAATCTACCCTCCATGAACGAGAACCACCTACATGGACAAGAAACACTCATTCATTCCATCTCTGATTTGGTTCATCTCTCCCTCTAATTTCTCCTTCAGAGCATCTACTTTTTTTATCACGAAGGCGGAACACTTGTAAGTCGTGCTCTAATTGTTGGCTTCCCAGCTACCTAGCTCGAATCGATATCGTGAGGTTTGGTCACAAAAAAGACTTCATGATTCGGTCGTGAGCTTTCCAGCTATCTCGAATCACGAGTGTATAGCAAAGTTCGATCATGAAGGTGATGTAACGCGATAGAGGTGAGACTGTTGTTGAGACGGGGAGGGTGTCTGGATGATTTTAGAACGATACAAGGTAGAGCAGCGGCCTCAAATGCGAACGAGAAAGATTTCTAGCAGAGCAATGGACCCGAATGAATTTATACAATTCTAATAGAAAAGAGACAAACTTCAACAGAGATTAGGACAACCAAAATAATTTACTTCGGCAATACAATAAAACACAACTCAAATACATAAAAAATCAAACTAAAATTCGAGAGGTGCGTAATTCTCTCCCAAACCCTAACTCTAAGATTCAAGATAACAATCATACATAACATAACCCTAAGCATATCAAGCCCAGTATAACCCACAATAATAACTAACAAATGCCTAAATTACCACTTTAGTCTTGCACCTAACATAGGTCCTAAAATTATTTGGCAAGCTCAATGTCGACTTAATGTAGCACAAGGCGGACAGCACCGTAGGCACCGGTTCAACATATTTCCACAATTATGGCTGTCAAAAAAGCTCGTTGTTCGCGAACAGTTCGTGTTCGGTTCGTCAGAGAGTTCGTGTTCGGTTCGTTCGAAAAGTAAACGAATCAAAACCCGAATAATTTTTTTTTTTTTTTTGGTTTATTAAAAGAACCAAACACGAACATTGATGTGTTCGTTCGTGTTCGATTCGTTCGTTAATGTTCAATGTTCGAAATATAAAATAATTTAAAATAGTTATATATAAACAAATTATGATATTTTAAAAATAATTAAATATTCTCAAAATTTCT